ATTTATATTTTGAGACAGGATCTCACTAAGTGGCTCAGGTTGGCCTTGAACTTGGTCCTCTTGCCTCAGCCTCCCAAGTAGTTGGGATTACAGGATTACAGGTGTGTGCAACCATGCCCAGCCACAAGAGTTCTTTATGTATTCTCCAAATGAATTGTCTACCATAGAGTTTGCAAATCGCATATTTTGCAAATGTTTCTCCTCTTCTCCCTTCCATTTTCCTTCATTTTTGTGGTGCTGGAGATTGAACCCAGAGTCTCAATGCTGCCTTTTACTTAACTGTTTTTCAGAGAGCAGCTACGCAGGGTATGGTGGCGCATGCCTGTAATTCCAGCATTTGGGAGGCTGAGGCAGGAGGATCATCAAGGCCAGCCTGGACTGTTACATAGTGAGTTCAAGGCCAGCCTTAACTACATATAGTGAGATACTGTCTAAAAAAAAACCCAAAAAAACCAGGGAGCAACAAATTTTAGTGAAACACTTCAAATTAAAGTTTATACAGGCTGGGCGTGGTGGGGCACACCTATAAGCTTATCACTCAGAAGGCTGAGGCAAGAGAATTGCTGTGAGTTTAAGGCTGACCTGGTCTACATAGTGAGTTCAAGGCCAGCCTGAACTACACAGTGAGACTGTCTCAAAAAAAGTTAGTAGAATGAGTGAAGTAAGGATTGGGGTTCATTTTTCTTTGTGTTCATGTTAATCAGCTTTTGTCATGTGACCAAATACCTGAGAAAAACAACTTCAAGGAGGAAAGGTTTATTTCAGCTTATGGTGATAGAGGTTTCAAGCTGTAGTTGGCTGGTTGCATTGCTGTGGGTCTAATGTAAGGCAGAACATCATGGTGAATGGGTGTGGTAGAGTGAAGCTGCTCATCTTATGACAGCCAGGAAGCAAAGAGCAGGGGAAAGAACCTGAAAGAAAGGGGCCAGGAACAGGATGGATGTAGATGCCAAGGTCATAGAGCCATGACACATTCCCTTCAAGTAGGCCCTCCTAAGATTCTGTCACTTTTCAATAGGGCCATCAAGTTACAACCTCATCCATGGATTAATCCACTGATGATGTTTAGAGCCATGTTCCAACCACTTTCTGAAAGCCCCATGTCTGAATAAATGAGACTTTTGGGGGACATTTTAGATTTAAACCATAACAATATATACAGATACCTAAACTTTCCCCTAAGCAATGTTTTAGTAGCATCCTGCAAATAAATTTATTGTATACTGTACTACCATTCAGTTTGTAATACTTTCTTTCTTCTTTTTTTTTTTTTTTTTTTTTTTTTTTGTGACAGGGTCTCAGTATGCAGTTCAGGCTGGCCTTGAGCTCACTTTGTAGCCCAGGCTGGACTCAAACTTGCAGTGATCCTGCCTCAGCCTCCTGAGTGTTGGGATTACAAGCATGAGCCACGATGCCTGGCTTGAAATATTTTCTGATCCCTCTTACAATGTCTTTTTGTCTTATAGCTTATTTTGAAGTATATTTTGTATTCTAGATTTTTAATTTAATTTTATTTTTTAAGACAGGATCTTGATGTGTAATTCAGTTCAGGCTGGTCTTGAACTCATAGCTATCCTCCTGCCTTAGCTTCCCAAGTGCTAGGATTATAGGCACCACCTTGCTGGGCTTCCAGATGTTTTATTGATACTAATTTCTAATGTAATTCTGTGTGCTCTGAGAACATATGCTATAGAGTTTCAGTCATTTGAGGTAGATTTTGTTGTGAGGCATATGGTCTGTCATGTTCTCTGTCTTTGGAAAGAACATGTATTCTGCAGTAGATATCAATTATTTGTTGATAGTGTTACTCAAATCTGCTATGATCTTTCCTGCTTTTGTTACTTGTTCTGTCATTTACCTTAAAGAACTGCCAAATCAGAATTGTAATTCTGTTTTTGCCTCATGTATTTTGAAATTATGTTTTTAGGCACATAACGTATTTGGGATAGTTTTCGTAGTGAATTCTTTCAGATTCGTCATAATGGTTTGTCCCTTTTTATCTTAGTAATGTTTACTGTCCCTAAGGCTTTTCTTGACATAAATACAGGTATTGTATCTTTCTTATGACTAATACTTTTTTTCCCATCTTGTAACTTTCAGTCTATATTACAAATTACATTTGTAATTTTTTTTTTTTTTTAATTTTATATTGATGGCGCATGCCTGTAATTCCAGCAGTGGGGGGGCTGAGCCAGGAGGATCGATGGGAGCTCGAGGCCAGCCTGGGCTACAAAGGGAGTTCAAACCCAGCCTGAACTGCATAGTGAAACCCTGTCTCAAAAAAGACCAAAAAAAAAAAAAAAAAATCAATTTTATATTTTAAGACAAGATCTAAGTCACTAAATTGCCCAGGCTGAGCCTGTACAGATTTTGGGGGGCTGGAGTCCCCTTCTAGAGGTGGTTTTTAGGTTCTTTCTGTCCTGAACAGAGAATTGGTCAAGACAAGCACAAATATTAGCAAGGTTTTAAATTTATTAAAGGTCAGAAAAAGACTCTGTGGGGAGTTTGGGCCAAGTAAAAGTAGAAGATGTACTCTACAAGTGAGTGGACTATCGTGAGAGAACACAGTGGCAAACAACTCATTGGTGAGTGTTCTTTTTATATTAGCCACTGCTTGCTCAGGCTGAGGTCAGGTCTAGGCCAGTGGTGGTGAACCTGTCGCACATGTACTGTAGCAGGCTGTTTACTTTGAAAGCTCTAAAAGGTTTACCATCACTGGCTAGGCAGTCCTGTCAAGTTCTTGGGAGAAGTCAATGAGCAGGGCTATGGGAACTTGCTTTCTTGCCTTCTTCTGCAGCCAGCTTTCCCACACTCTAGCCTTCTGTTCATGCTGCCCCCAGTCTCCCACTTGCCTTGTAATACGTTTCTTGCCGTTAGAATTTACATAGTTAGGTTTTGCTTTTTTTGTTTAGACTCACAGTTTTTTTAATACTGAGGGCTATACCCAGGACCTTCGCACTGAGTTACATTCACCCCTAGCTCTTTATTTTTTTATTTTGAGACAATGTCTTGCTAAGTTGCTGAATTGCCCAGGCTGGGCTGAAATTTTTGATCTTTCTGCCTCAGACATGTGCCACCATGTCCATCTTCCCCTTTCAGTTGTTGACTTTAAGGTCTATTTGAATGTCTTTGTCTTTGGAAAGAACATGTATTCTTCAGGTAGATATTTAAATATCTATGTCTTTGGAAAGAACTATATGGTTAGATTTAGAATCCATATGGTTAGATTTAGGTTTGTCATTTTGCCCCTATCCCTTCTATTTCTTTCTGCCTTGTTTTCCCCTTTCCTACCTTTCCAGTACTGGGGGTTGAACCCATGGCCTTTGTACTTTAAAGAATGCTTTGTCCTTTAAAAAGTTTTATAATTTGAGACAGGTCTTATTTTCTGTTCATCTCTGTTTTGTTGTCCTGTCATTTTTCAGATTAAGTATTCATAAAATTCATTTAATCTCCTTTACTAGAGTATTATTAGCATTACCTGTTTTGTTTTTTAATTTTTGTTGTGATTGTGGTATCTAACCCAGCGCCTTGTGCATGCTGACCATGCACTAAACCACTGAACTACGTCCTAAGTGCTATTTTTTCCCCTCTGTGACTACTGTAGAGTTAATAGTAGACATCTTTAACTTATTACAGTCTGCCTTCAAATAAAATCATACTGCTTACTTGGTGTATTATGTAAGAACCTTGTGGTAATTTATCTCCAATTTTCCACTTCTATCCTTTTTGCTGCTGTTCTGTGTTTACTTCTAGATATGTTAAGAACCGACAATTCATTGCTATTATATTTGATTTAAACAGTCTTAGAGAGAAAACTTTTATATTTATCTGAGTTCTTTAAGGGTTGTTTTTATTTAAAGTTTTCTTAGAGTGGGCTTTTGCCATGGGGCTAGTTTAGCTTTGCTTATAAGGTCTCAGCTGAAAGCTTCTCTTTACGCTGGTTGGTCAGAACCAGAACACCTGTGTAAACTGGTAGTTAAGTTGATATGTCTCAGGTAGTTGCTTGTTACCTAATGATTAGTTTCTTTGCCCACCCTCCTGGAATCTCACTTAATGCATGTGCAGGTAGTTTAGTAAAGATAAAAGGTTGTC